TTGTTCGCCTTGAATGTGGAAAGCGCAAATTCTCCTACAGAGGCCCTGCCCTCTGGAACAGGCTGCCAACTGCTATTAAGACCTGTCCGTCCATGTCCATTTTTAAAATGAAATGTAAGAATTGGCCTGACCTCTGACCCCTCCATGCCAACATATAGGACTGGACAATGACAATGACTGGACTGGACAATGATGTATTTTTTGTTATTATTACTATTTATTACTGTTATTGGTTAATTACTGTGTTTTCGTTATTATCATTGCCATTATAATTTATTTATTGTTTTCGTTATTATCATTGCCATTATAATTATTTATTGTATAATTTTTGTATGCTAATGTTATTATTTGTATGTGATTGTTGTATTATGCTGTGTAATACAGGGCCCCGTTGAAAAGCAGTGCCATCACTGAATTGGGTTACCCTGTATAAAAATGACGGAAAATAAATAAATAAATAAATATATAAATACTCCCATTATTTCTGATTGATTGGGAAAGGCACTTTAAACGACTTTCCCCACTAGACTCAAGTGAAAATGAGTATTGTCTATCCATCATTCGTTTCTATGTGCGGGACACAACACCAGCAACAGCTGCCTCTGTTCCGCGTGTATTGTACTGTTGCAATTCCAATAAATTAAAATAAAATAATAAAAAAATGTAGTGTAAGAAAAGGCATGCATATAAACGTAAAACAGTTGCTGGATTTAAGACCCCTCCCGTTATATATGGTGTACCCATACTAACACATAACCTTCTCGACGAAGGTAACAAAGCGAAGATTGTTTACCTCCGTGCCAGCCCTGCCGCCTTCCTGGCCTTGATGAAAACGTCCGGTACGAGTCTGAGAACGGGCTGGAAGTGTGTACTGTCGCGGAACAGGTTCACCTCCGCGCCGCTCTCCCTGTCCAACATGTCCTCCTCTATCTCAACATCCTTCTGGAACAACGTGTTCCACCTCCTCCTCAGCCGCGTCAGCTGCAGCGCCACCTGGCGAAGTTCTTTATTATCGTACTGCTCTAGTAGATCCGGGAAGTCTTTCCGGAGGATTTCTAACGTGCTGCCCAGCCGAGGGCCCGCCCTCGCACCAGGACTTCTTATAAACGCACTTAACGAATAGTCACTGCCACTGTGTTCTAACAGTCCAGTTTCTACACCGCTGTCAACACTGTCTGTCTTGGTTAGAAGCATGGCTTGGGTTTTACTAGGTTCTAAAACCTCGCCCTCCTCCTCTAGATTAGAATGGATCCCTTTGACGTCCGGGTCTTCTTCGTCATAGAAGTACTGACAGAGAGGAGCGAAGATGCGCTCGTCAAAGCTCTGTTTGAGTTCCTGTAGGTACTCTACGTATTCTAAGAACCAGCTGAAGTAGTGGACCATGTCTCTGTCCTTGGGTTTACCGCCGGTGTCAGACAGTCTCTGCTGCTCCCAGTCCAGTAGTGTGCTGACTTGTGCCAGGGACGCCAGGCTATGTAACTCTATGGTCTGCTTTTTAGTCAGCAGTTTCAGCATCTTGTACAGCGTACCTGCAATAAACAGAACAATACAAATAGGGGGTCACATAAGGTATTTTTGGAAACTATTTAAAGGAAGAGAAATAATAAAAAAAGTATTAGTAACACTAGAGTTCCCCGATCTCATACCTTCGCCAAATGATGTCAATCTTTATGACTGACAATTTGTAGATTATTCCCTGACTGTGCAAATAGGATCCTCATTTCATGGGTTATAACAATTTATCATATATTCAACCAAAAGACAGTCTTATATTAGGAAACAATGCCATTCTAGCATTTCCTCATAAAATTACGTCCAAGTTTGCATAATTGTCACATAATTATATCAAGCATCACGTAAGCTACCTACATCACATCTACCAAATATCACGACGATCTGTCAACCTGTTCTTGAGTTATCCTCTTTTAAATATTTTTAAACAGATAGCCCTGCAGTTCCAGAGCAAGCCGATAGGGGCAAAACAGTTCAAGCGCTACCTACCATCCAAATTTCGTCACCCTAGCATGTCTAGATCACGAGATATTAAATCCGGAAGTTCAGCTGCTTGTACGAATTTCTATGTAACTGTTCTCTAGTAACTACATAGAAATTCTTAGCTGTTAGTCGGTAAAGTTACATAGAAATTCGTAAAAGCGGCTTCGTGAGTCGCCCCGGCTATTAAGTGTCCCGTAAGGCCACACTGTCTTAATTTTATGGGTGACATCAGCGCGCGCATTGATTTTCGCCACGGCTCGTTACGAGTCGTCACGGCTACGGGACACAAGGTCAATGATGTAGTCACAAAACTTCCTAAACACATACCAAACACACACACATACATGGTACACAAAACACTCACACACAAACTGAACACCAAAACACAATTAAAGAAGATAAGTAGACCATGAGATACTCGTCTGACACAGACGATCAACTTTGCGTTACCGTGCACCTTAGGCCACACTGTCTTAATTTTATGGATGACATCCTAGTGTGCGCGGGCAAAAAAAAAAATATTTCAGCCAAAAATAAAAATGCTACTAAACCACAGGAATACAAAGCTGGTATCGTGAATTTGCGACAGTACAAATGTACATAGCGACGTATACGACAAGCCGGCACATGCTGGCTTTCTGTGGAATTTATGAATCGGCACTGTGCATGTCACATGTACTGAGTTCTTGAATCGTGGATCTTCGGTAGCCTGGGTGCCGGGCTCCGTATTGTCGCCAACCACCATGGATCCAGGCCAGAGCCTCGGTGGGCGTAATCTTTTTTTTTTTTTCTTTTTTTGTGTGTGTAAGAACAGACTAAAATCAATGCGCGCGTGGATGTCATCCATAAAATTAAGGCGGTGTGGCCTTACATCATGATATAGGGTAAACATACTTATAACAAATATTGAAGAATAGTACGTGCGTGTACATGTGAGTCTTACCTGTGGAGAATGTGGACTGGAGCTGCTCCATGTGCCGCTCAAACGCCGCGATCTGAGCCCGCATCAGGTCACTTCTCGTCGCCTCGTCCATCCTCACAACTACCGGGCTGTCATCTAAATAAAAAAGAAGAGATTAACATATTACGTCGGTGAATGTTGAACTTTTACTCTTCACTTTGTAAATGTCTTGTGCAATTATATATTTGAAATAGTTAATTAGATGTAATTTTTATATGCAATGTACAAATATGAATGAGATGAGCAAAATTTGAATTTCACGTAATATCGTGTAAATGTTTTTCAATGTGCAACTCTACTACCACAAGTAGATTGTGTAGTCGTTAACGTTTTTAAAAATGAACCACTCAATCACACCGGGAAGGTCCCCTACTCTTTTCGATAAGTGCGGTGGGTTTTTTAATGTGCGTGGGGTGTGGGTCTTCCGGGACCTCAGTTTAACGTCCTATCTGAGGGACGTCCCTAACCGAAGCTAAGTACTCATCTCCACCAGAGTGAGGAAAGTCGTGTAGAGAGCCTTTCCCAAGGGCACAAGATCGGTGACATGGGTAGGATTCGAACCCGCGACCTCTTGGGTGTGAGCCGAACGCGCTACCGGCTGCTCCACACGACCCCACAGATTTAACTTTGGTTGTAGACATTTGTTTCGAATATCAATGTTTTCGGGTTTTTAAAACAGACCTAAGATTTCATGCAGTAAAAATTAGCAGTGAAACTATAAGTAAGCGAATACATTTTGTTTAAATTATTCCAACTTTTCCTTTCTTCACAGATGTTTACCGCAACGGGGCTAATATGCAATCGGTCTATAGAGAAGCAGTCAGTTTATATACAATTATTTACAGAAGGACGTAATAGAACATACAAAAACTTAATTAGTTTTGCGATGCCTTTGTTGTACTGACAGCACACAGGTGACATGTGCAAACAGCGGCCCAAACAAACAGTCAACATCCCGATATTAATAGATTCACTGCAGGATCAATTATTGTTCAATCAGCGTACAGGTTTGTCAGTAGTGTCAGCTCACCGGTCATTGACACTGTGGTACAGGGGGTTGTGATATACAATCTGATGTTATGTTCTCCTCCTCCACAAAATTAAATCTTTGAAAGACTAAACTGTATGGTTAAGGCCACAGCAACTAATTTTTATGGATGATATCAGCACGCGCTAATTTTCGCCTGATTTTGGGGAAAAAAAAGAAATTCTGTTGCCTTCTGGTCAATATGCTTAAAATGGGCAAAGCTGTCTGTTGCCATGCCGGAAGATGGATGGCAGAAAAATATGAAGAGAGGAGACAAGGAAAGGCTCCGATTTAATGTTTTGTTACTTACTTAAATGCAGTGATATGTGATGCTAGCTATATATATGTGATGTTCCCACCGAATCAAAACCATTTGTACAATGATTGAGTCAAAATCTTAAATTGCAGGAACCTTGTTTTTTTAGGCCCGTCTTGTTTTTTTTTCGCCTGCTCGCATTAGATTTGGAGGCTGTGGAGGATGTCATCCATAAAATTTACTTGCTGTGGCCTAAGGTACGGAAAGAGATGCCCGACTCTCTCAGGACTGATTCCCAACCGTTTACGAACTTTCTTAGGAATTAAACTAGGCATAAACAAGGGTCCACTTCGCGTTTATACACAATGCGCCTTGAGATCACTAAAAGATCAAATTTGATACAGCATCTTTACTCTCCCAAGCAGAGGTAGGGTCGCTCGGTATTTTGGTCAGTATTTTCGCGTTTTT